CCTCGAGGGCCGACAGTGATTTTGGGTGGTCGCAGTAGTCGTCCGGGACATCAAACAAAAACGAAGGGTCGAGATCCTGCACGCGGCCGAGACATTCCCCCGCAAGCAATGTGACAGGTGTGGAAAGCGGATTGCTTACGAACATGTTGCTTCTTCCGGCGGCAAGGTCAATTGTTGCGAAAGGCAGCGGCAAAGCTCGACGACATTTGAAGATATCGGAAGGCATAAAAAGAACTGTAGCGTCAGTGTAGGCGTTGCATGAAACGGGAACAAGGGTGCAATTTCCAGGCGGAATATCGGTATCTTCATGAACGAGCAACTTCGGCGGCTGATGAGGAGTGTCCAGTGCTGGGACATCACACAAGGGTGAAAACTCAACTTCGGCGCGTGCGCAGTCTATGACGGCATTATGGCGGGATAGGAAGTCCCACCCGAGGATGACGTCATGCGAACAGACAGGAAGAACAATAAACTCCACGATGTAAAGAATGCCTTCGATGGAGACTCTTGCAGTGCAGGCTGTGAGAGGCGTTACTTGCTGTGCGCTTGCGGTGTGAAGCGACAGTCCCGAAAGCGGCGTCGTTACTTTGCGTAATAAACGGCAGAGATTAGCGGCAATAACAGAAACAGCGGCGCCAGTGTCCACAAGGGCGAAAGTACAATAACCTTCAACAGTTACTGCGACCACGTTAGCAGGAGAGGAGCGAGGGCTTAAACAGAGTTCAAAAACGGCACAGTTCTTGCCTCTTGAACTGCGTTGCTTAGTTTTCCTGGTCGGAGGGTCCGGGCCGGCGACGCATGGGGGAGGGCGATCGCCGACGAGGAGAGGGTGCGCGTTGCGGCTGGAAGTCAAGGTGGTCGGTAGGCGCATAGCGAGGTGGCGAGACCGGCCCGTATTGGACGAAGGGTTGGCTGCCGGGATGCGACGAGCGTGCATAGTTGCCGAACGTCTGAGGTCGACGGCGGCAGTAGCGAGCAACGTGTCCGGGAGTGAAGCAAGCTAGCAAATCGGTCGGTTATCGGGCGTCCTCCAGGGATTGGCGACTGGTGCTGCCGCCCAAGGTGCAGTATAAGCAGCCGGGTGTGCGGGCTGTGAGCGCGTGGTGTAGGGTGGTTGCGGGAGCCTACGTACAGCGTCTGCATATGTGAGCGGCGCGGCTACGGGCTGCATCTCTTGCGAAAAGGCGACAGGAGGAGCCACAGGCTGCGTTGCATAGGTTAGGGGCGCGGCCACAGGCTGAACGGCTGGTGGATAGGTGACAGGAGCGCCTACCGGCTGTGCAACACCCGGGCAGTGACCACGGCTAGATAGAGGTGGCTCGTAGTGCGCAAGAGGAACAGCTTGTGCAACCTCTTCCGATATAGCAGTGCGAAGCGGGGCAGGTAGACGGGTGGTGGTCTCGTGAGTAAAGGGCACTAGGGAAAGTTGGCGGGCGACTTCCTCACGGACGAAGGCTCGGACTTGCTGAAGCAATGGTGAATTGTTGGTCATGGAGTCGAAACTGGACAGCGACTCACCACCAGGCTGGGGCTGCCTAGTCAGAGTGCGTTGCTTTTTCAACTCGTCGTAGCTCTGACACAAGCTGACGACTTCAAAAACTGTGCTTGGATTCCTTGCCAAGAGCATTTGAAATGCACCGTCGTCGATGCCCTTCATGATGTTTTTGACCTTGTCAGATTTGGGCATGCTGTCATTCACACGTCGACAAAGGTCGACGACGTCCTCAATATAACTGGTAAAGGTCTCGCCAGTCTGCTGAGAGCGGATGCGCAAGCGCTGTTCTGCCCTCTGCTTGCGGACAGCCGGCCGACCGAACACTTCAGCACACGACGTCTTGAAGACGTTCCATGTGGGGATGTTGTGTTTGTGGTTATTAAACCACAATTCGGCGACGCCAGTGAGATAAAATATCACGTGGCCCAGCTTGTCGGCTTCATCCCACTTATTGTTGGTGCTCACCAGTTCGTAGTGCTCGAGCCAGTCTTCGACGTCGGTCCCATCCGCACCGCTGAAGACCTTCGGCTCCCGTAGCGTAGGATGGCCAGGGCAGTTGAACTGGAGCGAAGGAGTCGATGTAGTGGCGTTGGCAGTCATGACATGTGGTAGCGTGCGGCTTCGCAGCTCCAGGGTGTAGTAACGGGGATTAACAGCACCTTCCACCAAATGTGAGGAGGTTTATTAGCCGTTAAGACAGCGACGAGACAGCGTGAAGAAGCGTCCAGCGATCGGCACAGCAACGGACCGAAGCACGAGCCGAGCGAGCCGGGCGTTGGCGATGCTGCTCGCTGCAGGCACATCTTCTTCTTCACAATATATATATATATATATATATATATATATATATATATATATATATATATATATATAAACGCCAGGACTGTGCACAATGCGCAGCACAGTCACAGCGAAAGCTAGCAAAGCGGCCTTTCAAAGCCTTTAAATACTTTTTGGGATGCTACAAGCACACTTCTGGGTACCCACTACACCATAAATAATAATAAATTTTGTGTAGTAGGCCAGCATTCACTTTGCTATCCTTCGTCATTCTTTGCAAAAGAGTGGTATCCGCTACATTTTTGTTAGCTATTTTGTGCGTTATTTTATGCAGTAGCTGACGACGATGAAAAAATATGCCTGAACTGGGTATGCGTCATACCCAAGTATTAGGAATTGATGTATGAAACTCTACGGAACACGTTATCTAGTCACTGAACAAAGCTTATTCATGCGAACATACCTGAAAGTTTACACATGCGTGTATTGTGAAATTTGTAAATGTGCGTGCTCGAACAACATTTACAACTGTTTTTCTTAGTGGTACGTAACTAGACAATGACTGTCCTAGCTCTGCTTTTAAGATGACAAGTACATTGTTTACGTTGCAAAACAGAGAGGCGCTAGTAAAGCCATCATCGACACGGACAGTATAGCGATGCCTCTTCTCCATTAATCACGCCCCGGTTAATCACAAGTGAATATCGGGAGTTGCTCGTGACTATTGGCCGAGGAACTATCCTTAGGGCATTTATGTAGTTGTCAATCATCAGCAACTACATGAACGCTATCTTGCAGCCCTGCTTGAACGCATATTCTTGTCAGTATATAAATATATCCAACATGTTTTCAAACATGTCTTTCTTTCTTGGGGTACTTAGATAAAAAATATTGGTTTGTCTGTCTGTAGATTTGTCTGATTGCCCGCCATAACGTTGGCCCAAACGGCTCTGAACGATACCCCGAACGGCCAACCCCATCCGGAGCGCCCACCAATATTGCTCAAGTTTCAGCGTTCATACTCGTGTGATCATCCATTAAAAAGCAATTATTGCGCATATCTGAGGCACCACAACAAGACGTCGATATTTTGTATGTGTGACCTTATACTAGAGAAGGCACACATAAGTAGACTGTAGCGTTTGTCTGCTGACAGGGCAAGGTAATGCTCAGAAAGGCAAGTGTTTCCAACGCTTTGCTAAGACGATACGATGATGGCACCTGCCCGTCGCTTTGCGTTCTACACCTTATCGCTATCGCGACAGGCGCGCACGCCTACCTTCGTTTTGGAAGATAACTGCCAGATAGCTCTCGTGTCTAACGTGCCTCGATGCACTCGTTCGCCTTCGCTGCACGGATCGAAACAGTCTTGCACAGCGCCTCCAGAACGCAATTCACCCGGTTTTCTCGGGCAGAACATCAAATAAACATTTTTTTTACTCTCTCCAGACACAAGGCTATCGTCTTTGGACAACATTTGCAGTTAAACATGCAGGTACGGGGCCGATTTTTATTTTCGTCCTTAGTTTACACGATAAAACGTAACAAAAGGTGGCAAGAAAAAAAGATGCTTCGTCGCAGCTTGACAGAGCTCCTGCCACCTGTACATAGGCCCTATACAACAAAGTACATAAGCGCAAAGTGAAAAATCCCGAACAAACCATTTATGTTCAATTTACACTTCAGTGGCCTCGCAGAACGTCTTTGTAACACAATGTGAAATAGAGGACTACTAAATACAAACAGTATGAACAATAAATAAGACGAGTGCTGAAACCACACTGCGACATGTATTCACCTATTACTATAAGTTCTAATACACTATATTGTCATATTTGGGATATTGAGACACACTTTAATGAAATAACTATAATTTATTTCAGATGCTGATTTTTATGCCACGTAGATATCCAGAATTTATTGTTTTGTTAGTGTTAATATGTCTATGCCTCGTGCATGGTATGCGTTTAATGTAAGTGGCATTGTGTGTTTAACTTTCTCTGTACCATGATGTGGGGAGGAAAAAGGAATTTAATATTGTGATTTCTACCTAAAGGGGTACAACGCGATTGTTTACTTTAAGCCTCTAGGTCTGAAAACTTGTCGAGTATACCAAGTTGGGCGCTTTTTCACACTATTAGTAATTTGTGGGTGTAGATTTTACGCGATTTTATAATTCTGTACTAACGAAAAAGTACATAAATCAGTAAGCTTCCTTGAATACATTTAGGCCAACCTCAATCTTTAGGAAGCTTAGAAATGGCAACTTGAAGTTAACATTTTCATTCATTTATTGTACGTCACTATAATTAGTTAAATGAAACACCAGACAAGCTCACCAAAAGAATATGATCTCCCCGAGAAGTAATAACCAATCACCGACTGATCTCGTTTCCTGGTGCCAAAATATGGAATAGTTTACCCCTAGACATAGGTATATTCTGCATCTAACATTGTATCCGGGTTTAGAATTAAGAGTACCTCAATCTGAACAACCAGTTGGTAACAACGTCTACCTAGTCACTTCATTTCAAACAAAGCGTATTACGCGAATTGTAGGCATGCATGTATTGTGAAAGTTGCTAGAGTGGTGGCTCTTACAACATATAAAATATTCTTTTTTTTTCGCTTATGGGTCCGCAATTACAGTGTCTGTGTGAATGTAATAAATAAAATAAACAGTCGTTCACTTTAATTAATGCAAGGGCCTCTTTTTTAATCACAGGTGGTGACTCTGACGACGCACTTGTTCTTTGTCACGTGCCTCGTGGCGCGCCAGAGCTTGGACCCCGAGAAAGGCTATCCGGGTCACCAGTTGGACGTCTACTTTCCCTTCTTCACCTTCTTGCAGTTCATCTTCTTCATGGGATGGCTCAAGGTGATCGGGCGTTTAGGTACACGAGGCAGGGTGTTCTTTGATGAGTCTAATGTTTTTAATTTCACGATCTTAAGTTTCCTGATAGAGGATACTAAATACCATATTTAAGTATCACGCCACCTGTGGTCTAGTGGTGATGGTACTCGATTGCTGGCCTGAAGGTATTGAATACTGGCCGAGTTTTCTGATGGAGGCGAAAATGTTTGTCGTCCAGGTACACAGACCTAGGTGGATGTTAAAGAACCCCTCGTATTAAAAATTTCCAGGGCCCTCCACTGCCAGGTCTCCTATAATCATGTCGTAGTTTTTGGACGCTTAACTCGACAAAATTTCTCCACGAGTCGTAAGGGATTTCCAAGCGTGTTTGTGGTATTTTGGCGACTCTGGCTCAACATACTTTCCTGGAGCTTGAAACGTAAGAGTATGGCCCACTCAGAGCTCAATCCAATTCATTTGTAGTGATTTGGAGCTACGCAGGCGCTAGTGTAGACGCCGCCAAATATAAAAAAGTACCGCCGTTTTTTAACGGAGTCGCCGCGCCGCGCACCCTCTTCTCCCGCCTCTCACCTCTCGGGCCACCACGATCATCGTGGTGTTATTAGCGTGACATAGTATCCTCTATAGGAAAGTGACGCAAGCTGGGCTATAGGGCCGGCGCCCACATGGTGGCCGTTCGGGAGAGGATATAGCTGGGGTTTTCACACTTGGGAGAGGAGGGTTAGACACTTTGGAGAGGATATGGAGGAGAGTGTCGGTACTTTCTCTATATCAAGGGACTTTACCGAGAATTGTATGGCTACGCCAGCTGCATTTTGTTTTTAAATGCGAATGCATGTTTTAGTCGGGTATGTCAGGCATCTGGTGCTCTCCGCGCGCCGGCAAGTGCTATCTCTTTTCTCTCACTCCCTCTCGCGTAGCAACAGTTGCGGGCGTGCGCACTAATCCTCGCCCCTACTACAGTGGGTAGAATAGGGAAGTGTGATGAGCGGTAAGCGGTACCTAAGGAGCGCACTGAAGCCTATGCGAAGGAGCCACGTGGGGTCACGCGCAGTCGTTTATACATTGTTTGCCCGTTTACAACAGTTCCGTCGGGGGCGTTCGTCCTCGTTTCTTTTTGTGCGGTGGCACTGTGACACCAATGCATCTTTATTCACTCTCATGGAGCGAAAACAGTCATTGTTTCGTCTCGGGGTGCACTACAGGCTACAAGTGAGCTAAAGAAATCACAGCATATTCACTAAGTGAATGATAATGCCTAAAGAGAAGCGCCGGAGGGTTTCATCGCTAAGCCATGAACCATCCACAATTATCGCTCACTAAATCATAAAAACATCGCAGCATATCCACGGAGTGAATGATGATGAGTGGGGCGAAGCGTCTGTCAGCCCGTCTGTGCTTCCATCTGTCGGTTCATTCTTGCTTCCATCCGTGCGCGCGTCCATTTGTTCGTCCATCCATGCGTCCATCTATCAATCCGTCCGTACGTCCGCCCGTCTTCTTGTTTGTCTGCCCATTCGTCCATCTAGTGTACGCTCCAAGTAGCGCCATCTCGCATCCACTGTGGCACATACCCGCTCCGCGCATCCATTCGTCCGTCTGCTAGTCTCTCTGTCCATCCATCCATGCGTCCGTCCGTGCGTAGATATAATGAACACTCCAAGTACCACCATCTCGCATCTTGGTGGCTACGTACGACAACAAAAGAGGATGGACAGACGCACGCCTTAAGGAGCTTCGCCCCTAAAACGTGACGAACTCTGTATGTATTTCCACAAGAAATTCTACAACTGGTAGTGGTAGCTATGCGTTGCTTCCGTTCCCCCTTCATTATGACAGCTTTATGGTAGGTGAAGCTGTGTACCAGTGATGGGGTATAGTGGGATGTTTGCAAGGACCAAGTAGTGGGCAGTTTGCAAAGTGGTCACGTACAAACAAGGAATAGACACTGTGAAAAAATGTATGGTTCTTGAACGCCTATCTGGATACAAGTACACTACCATCTTGCATTTTCTATTGGCTGCTTCTCAACAATATTTGCTTCATGGTCGATGAAGTGGTGGATCGGTGATGGGGTGTAGTGGGATGTTTGCAAGGTCGAAGTAGTGGGCAGCAGGCGAAGGGGTAACTATAGGTGGTCACATGCATGCATGCATGCATGCATGCATACATACATACATGCATATATACATACGTACAAGGGTTGGACAGACCCACGCCTTTAGGAGCTTCACCCCTAAAAAACGATTGCACTTGAAAGTGGTTGGGAAGTTGGAAAAAATGCTATTTACATATGGCCCGACTGGCCCCATCTAGCTGCCAGTGCCTAGCAGATGACACTCTCCTTAGCAGAAACAAATAAAACATGTACACAAAGGCTCTTTGCCTTGCAAATAAGGTTGTTAAAAAATAGCGGACGTTTCGAGAAAAGTAAATAAAACATGCAAATAAAAGGTGATAAGAGAGATGTTTCTTTAATATTACACATGAGAAACGCGAAATTTTATAAACAGATGAAGTGAGACATGAGACGATAACAGGAAATTATGCATAACGCGCGTATATAAGTCACTTCTAGAAATAATTCGGGCGTGGTTTATTTATTTATTTATCGCTGAATGTTGTTTTGGGGTGGTGGATGAGTGATAATTATGCGGAGCCTGATGTTGCTGGCGGGATTCGCTGTCATGGCGACTGCGTTGGCATTGAAGGCGAATCGCGACAACGCGCCTGCAGCCCCAATGCACGTTTCTATGCCACAGATGTTGTCTGTAAGCGCACCCTTCGCGACACCTTCAATATTTCACGCCAGCTGAAAGCACGAAGCGGAGCCTGTTCAGGGAACGGTACAATAAATCTGCTGCCCCTCATGTCGCATTTATAATGACGGTGCGCGTATGGCTGTTGATGTTTCAGGTTGCCGAGCAGCTGATCAATCCTTTCGGGGAAGATGACGACGACTTCGAGACCAACTGGCTCATCGATCGTCACACGCAGGTGTGGTGTCGTTTTTCCTTTTTCCTAGCTGTCGGCATCATTCAAGAAACGGGAGTAGTTTGGTTCTACACTCATAAATTGAAAAAAGTAAGTTGTAGTAACTATAAACACGGTTTCAAAACGTTGTAGTACTTACTAACCTCGGTTTCCTATTTCTCACGTATGTTACTAGAATCTTAGTAAGTGCAGTTAGTAACGGAGAGGTTAAGGACCAATACTATCATCACTGTTACAAAATTAGTTGGTAACAGTTACTAACGCAAATAGTAACTGTTTATAAGTCAAGGAAATAGGTAGCCACGAATATTTTACCTCACAAATCGCACGTTTAATAATGGTCTGATTCGCGAGCATCAACATTGCGACATACAATTGGGTAACTATGCACGCAATTTCATCAATGAGTATGGCTCACATACACAACACGTATACGTGACACTTTTTTTTCTTTATTGCCTTCTTGACTACAGGTCAAGATAATATGACAATCACTATCACACGTGTTTCATGCGTGATAACGCGTCAAACAAAGATATTACATTTTAAACACAGTCGGTAGTCTTATACACATCTCGCACTTTTATAACAGCTTCCACGAAACACTCGTTAACGGATAGAACTCTCACATCACAGTGTCTGTACGATAGCATACTACGCCAAACCGAATGAAGACCAAGTAAAAATATAACATCCAAATTTTGCACAGAGCTATCACAAGGCAAAAAACGAATTCCACATGAAGTAAGAGGTAAATCTTTTTTTTAAAGTCCTCTGTAAAATGTCCCAAAAGAAAATAGCGTTCTTACAATCAATAAACACATGTTCAATGGTCTCAGGTTTGTTACACAAGAGACAGCTGCTTCTCCATGGTAGATACATCCCTCTCTCTTCAAGCCACGTTTTTACTGGCAAGGTTTCCGTATGAAGTTTAAAAAAGAAGGTTTTCACATTGGGTGGTATACACATGTTTTTCACTCGCTTTAGTACGTCATGACCATATTATTTTTCATACCTTGAACGGTACAGGGGCACAGGAAAAACATTCTGTATTAGGTCTTTCATAAGGCGCTTTCTTTTCACATTAGTTAGGTAATCTATCGAAAACCTCGCCCTTAAGAAACGATATGAGAACACAACTTCGCGCAAGAACGGTGACCAGGTGTCTCGTTCTCGCCTGTCTGAAGATACAAAGAAGTCAGGCATGTGGTGTAACAGCGTTGTTTGAAATAAAGAACGTAAAAAAGTCTATCTGGTCTCTAATGAGCAGGAAACGTGATATTACTTGGTTAAGAAACAGATGGCACAGAGACAGCCCTCCTTGCTTAACTCGCCGAAACAAGTTCGTTCTAGATGTTCTCTCACACGTAGATGTTCTCTCCAGATAAACGTGACGAATATCCTGTGGACTTTGTGAATGCTTTTACGCGTACAACTAAGTACTTGCAAAAGGTACATAATTTTAGCAGCCAGAAACACGTTGCATACAGCTGACCGAGAGAAAATTGATAAGCCACGACCACCCCATCCTTCGGCGGTCGCGCGCAGTTCTTCAGCCTTTCCAAGCCAAAATGCTTCACTGTCTTGATACCTGTCCAATGGTACCCCTAGGTAACGACTAGGCGTCGTGAGCCACTGAATATTTCCAAAGGAACTGGGCGTAAGGTCCCAATTAACATGCCATAAACCAATGCTTTTCTCTTTGTTCATTAAACTTCCACTCGTGTCGCAAAACCTTTGAGTAATTTTTAATAACGAAGTGACACTCTCTCTACCAACTGCAAAAAAAGGCAATATCGTCGGCGTATGCCAAAACACGCCCTTCACATGACTGCAACCTGAAACCATTAATCCCTGCATGGTGAATCACTTTCTGACACAGTGGTTCCAAAAATAGAGCGAAGAGCAAAGGACTTAAAGGACACCCCTGGCGCACGGAGGAAAGTACTTGTATGCGCTGTGAGAGTTCTCCATTTACAATTAAATTTGTGGTTGAACTTTTGTATGCCAATCTAATACCTTTACATACGATCGCACCAAGACCAACGTACTCAGCTAGCATGATGAGTATAATGTGTGGAACCATGTCGAAAGCTTTGGCTAGATCAATTTGCAACATAGCTACTTTTAGAAGCGCAGCGTCACAATACTCCAAAATGCTCCTGGCAACATGAATATTCGTGAATATGCTCCTACGCCTGATGCCGCAAGTCTGATGTGACCCGACCAACTTGTATATAACTCCTTGCAACCTCCTAGCCAGAACTTTCATAAACACTTTATAATCTACGTTTGTTAGCGTGATTGGCCTGTATCCTGTCACTTTGCGTAAAACATGTTGCTCTTTCCCTTTAGGAATCAGCACGGTGTGTGCCCGATTAAACGATGGAGGCAGAGTTCCGCGATCTAAAGACTCTGAAAAAACCTCATGCAATGCGGCGGCCATATCCTCCTTGAACGCCTTTTAAAAGTCGGCATTAATGCCACCTGGACATTGTCAGATAAAAAAGCATATGCGCGAGCTCACGGCATACTAGAGATAGAATGGAATGGTAAAATATTGAGAGAACATAAAGATATTATGAAAGCTTTTGAGAACTATTATCAGGACTTGTTTGCTTATCGCGAACCAAAGGAGCCGGGTTTTGTAGATGAGTTCTTGATAGAAATGCCGACACTTAATGCTGAGGACACAAATTTATTGGAAATGTCTATTAGTAGAGGGGAAATTGAGAAGGCTATCGATGATCTTGGCATGGGCAATTCACCTGGCACGTCTGCGTGACACGTACACTTCATGACTGCTTCTAGGATTATTGATAGCCCTATTTTTCTGGAACGCAGCTGGTGCCGGTGGGTGGCTATGTGCGAGACCTAAGACAGGTCTCAGACAGACCTAAGACATATATCGCCTCAATGAACTTACGTGGCGTTACGAGTGAAGATTTTCCCGCGAAATTTCAGAAAATGCCAATTTGGTCTTGATGTTCTCCTTTATTGACATGCCTATGAATGTGGACTTGACGGAATGGGTGACCACAAAGTTTGATTTGTCAATATAAGCCGTCTGATTGTTTCATTTTAGTTTCGTTTTAAGCCTAGCCCGTGCTAGTAAATAGGTTGTTAGGCCTTCGTAATAATAAATTCCCAAGTTTGTTCTACAAGTTCGTTAAACAGGTGCATGGCAAAAAGTTAGTCATAGTGTGCAAAGGTAGTAACCGTTGCAACCTTAAAGCTAACGTATGTAGTAAAAAGAATGCAAAAAAGTTAGTAATGGCCTTAGAAGGTTAATAACATCAGCTTTAATATATCTGCTTGTAGTTAAAAGCTTTTTTCCTAACTTTTTTAAAAAGTGTATGTTACAAGCTTCCACTCTAGCGTCGCCAGCGCGAAGTCGGCGACGGGAATGACAGCAGGTTAGTTCGTTCCGCACGCAAGCAGAGACAGTGAAGAGATCAGAGACGTGAGAAAACAAAACAAACTTTACTCTAGTGATATTGCAGCACGCGGGATCTAGTACAACACTTCAATACAGCTAACAAAATACATCAACACTTGCTACAACTAAAAATATATAAAAACAATAAATCAGCTTACGAGAGAGAACTATTACAAGCTACACAAACTAACAACAATAAAACTACGGAGGAGAAAGTTCGAAGATATAAACAGGTGAAGGCATACGTGTGATGACCGGCAGCGTTGCGTCCCCGACGATCGGATGCGAGAAGTCGAAGAGAGTTCTGGTGCGACTGCGATGTCGGCGGTGTTGCTACGCTGGTGGCTCCGGGAGGCTAGTGCTTGCAGGTGACTTCGAGCAGGTTGAGCCAACTCGAGGCGAAGTCCCGATGTCTACGTTGCACACGTTAATACCGCGTCACAACTAGACGAACGGCTAAGTTTAGGTGGCCAGCCGATACAGAGCCACACTAAAAACTTCTAGAAGAGATGCTTGTTGATCTGTTTCTACACCATGTTGGTCAGCGACTAGTCTGCCTAGTAGGGCAAAATCCTGCGCTTAAATTCCCCTCGCGTCTCCTCGTTCTCTTCCTTGGGGACAAGAGATCTCTACATGGGTCCAATCATGCGCGTTTCATTGATGGAAACTCCGCCCCAAAATTATATTGACCCCACCCCTTTTTAAATAGGAGAGGGCCCTCAACTAGCGAGAGTGACAACCTGTTGGGGTGTTGTCATACGGCTTGGCCACCAGAGGTTTTCTCACGGTTTTCCCCGTGGGAACGGTCAGACTGTTTGGCTCTCAGCCGGTGCGTCCCGTAGTCTAATCCTTGTTCGGGGTACATCGCGGCCTTCCACGACCCAGCAGACGCCGCCGCAGTTACAAAAGGATCAAACGTCGGCGGCGACGTTCGAAGAAGAGCACCCCATTCTGCACACCCTGGCTCTCTTTCATGCGCCCGCCGTTCCCACGGTCAGTGGGGAGTACGGCGCCCGTTAATTGCCGTGACGCCGGGTCGCCAAAAATGGCCGTCCATGACAGTGTAGTTTAGTTGATTTGGCGTTCAACATGGGGAACTGCCGCACACGATGGGGTCTCAACCCGGGTGACGCATATGGCTAGAATTGTTATGCGAATTTAAGCATACAGAAATCGAGTTGTGTTCCGGTAAGTTTGTGAAATCAGAAGAACATATTCACCTCGCGGCGTATCTGATTTTAATGGAATATAGCAGCTGACATAGTGCTCGTGTCTGTGAAGAAGGGCGGGGTAGTTATAGGAAGCTATATGCGTGTGGTAAAAGGAACTGCTATACACTAATTGAAGAAAGAATCGTTTACTTCGGTCAACGTAATTGCTCCCCTTTTTTATGAGAAAAAAACATGATTTCATGCAAACGGGAGCAACGATATCGGCCTGCAAGGCGCGATTAGGTCAGTATATTCGCCCCGTAACGGTCATGCTTAAATTCTTTATACTGAATAATCAGCGCCAGATACATCCCATTAAGAAAATTCTGGCAATTTCGCCAGTTCCCGAGAAA